AGACCAGGCGCCAACGGTGAGCCCCAGGAGCAGCCCAACGGCCAGTGCTTGCTGGCCAGTGCCCCATCCTCAGAGAATGAACGCCGCTGTGACGCGCCACAGAGCACGCGAATGCACGCCACAGACAGCGAGTGCCGGCGTGACCATCACAGCTGATGCTGAGCGCTGCGCCGACACATCACGGAATGGCAGGCCCCGGGCTCAGCTCCTGCTTGTGGGGCACAGGCTGGGCCCCACCATCCCACAGACAGACGCGGCGGCGTGGGCTCCCAGGCCTGTCCACCCTCCCCTGCACAGAGCCTGCCACCATCCTTGTCGCACAGGGCCCGGTGCTGCAGAGGCGGCGTGGCTTGCCCCGGCTGCGGCTCCAGAGAACGGTCCGGGACGCCGTGGTCATCCAGCCCCAGGGCTGCTCCTGGCCCTCCTGGGACGGCTTCTCCCGGCAGAGGATGAATCACCTTTGGGATGGCGGCTCCAGGTCAGAAAGCTGCCAGGTCACCCAGGTGCCGCACAGGCCGCTCCCCAAGGACGGTTTCGGGCCTGGGCTTATCCCGGAGGCTGTCTTCCGTCTGCCCCGCCAGCCCGGCCTTCGTCTTCCCCACACGCCCCTCCCCGTCCTCGGCACTGGGCTTATCCTGGTTTCCTTTTCTGCTGTCTGGAATTGAGTGCTTAGTTCATCTAGTTTTATTCTCTCTTGCTTATAATAAAAACAATTTAGACGATAAGTTTTCCTCCCAGTAAGTGTGTTTCTGGTCACCTTCTGGAAGCCGCCCACGCTGTCTACCACGAGGGCGTCAGCTCCTCTCTGACCCACAGCAGCTCCGGAGGGCACCCGGGAGTCTCCAGCCCTCCCGCGTGCCTGGTGGTGCCTGACAGGTGCACCTCACAGCTACTTCCCGGGGCCGACCTCAGCTTTGAGCCCGCCCACCCGCCAGGGAGTGAAATCCACCAACAGGGTTTTGTGAAACAGAGGCAAGGAGGCCCCAGCGGGCCCCAGCTAGGATGGGAGGGGCCTGTCCAGTGGGGAATTCAGGGGGAGCAACCCTGTCAAAGGCCCACCAGCCCAGAGAGCTCAGGGACTGGGCTCGCTCTGGAGTGTCAGGAGCAGGACAGTGAGCCAAGCATCAGGACATCCGAGGGCCAGGCCAGAGCTGGGACCCCCGGAAGCAGCAGGGAGCAGTGGGCAGCAGCGGCCTGGAAGAATCCCAGGACCCCCACCTAGGGGGAAGTTCAGGGTGGGGACAAGGACAGACAGGTCACCTGGTTGGTCCTGAGAAGCCAAGCAAAAGCCCTGCAGTCAGATGGGGCTCCCACAGGCCCCCACCTCTGAGCCCCCAGCAGTGTCTGTAGCCTCAGCGAGCGGAGAAGCTTGGGGTCCTGGCCTCCATGTGGCACCAGATCGGGAAGCAGGAGGGCGTGCCTCCAGGGTTGGGCGTGTCTGTGACATGGGGCCCCTGCCCAGGCCTAGCCAGCCCCGGAGGATTTACAAGCTGCTTTCCTGACCCTGCCCTTGGCCTGGGCAACAGGGGACAGACACCTTCCCCAGGAGGGTCAGGCGCTTCCTGCCAGCTTCCCGGTTGCCTCCACACTCAGTAGCTGTAAGCGAAGGCACCAGCCTTGTGGGACCCACAGCTTCATCTGGGGGACTGGGATGCAGGCATGATGGCTGGGGCTCTGGCAGCTGCTTTGGCATGAGAAGGAGGGAAGGGTGGTGGCACCTGGACTCTTGATGGCATCACAGAGGCTGAGACTGCCTGTGTCCAGACTCCCCAGTTTGAGACAGAACGGCCCACCACGCTTCAAACACCAGCTGCCAGGATATGGGTCTTCTCTTGTAAGCAGCCTGCCATGAGACAAGGCGGCCAGTAGGCCCTGCTCATTCCCGGGCCCTGGTGGCCAGTCCCCACCTGCTGTGCCTGGGCCTGAGTTCTGTCTGCCCCTGGGCCCCACCTGGCAGAGTGCATCCTAAAGCAGCAGAACCGGGAGGGGAGAGCCTGGTCCCTAAGCACCTCCGGGCTGGAAGCCGCCTGCTGCCCGCCCGGCCTCACCTCCACCTTCCCCAGTCCCCGGGTGGCCCAGGGCTGACTGTCCACTACTCAAAACTCTCCTGCCTTCCACAGGCCCCCTTTTCCTCCCCGGGAGACCTCAGGGCCCACCTAAGGGGTCAGGGGACAGGACTTCCTGCGGCTGTTCTATGCCCCCAGCGGCTGAGTTCTGAGGGGGTGGCTAGGGCTGGGCTCATGGCTGTCGCACAAACGAGACAGACCTCGTGGGCCCTGCCAGGGACAGGCTTCAGGCAGCAGTAGCCAGGCCCCGTGTGGGCAGGGGCAGCGTCGCCAGGGGTTGGGGGGTGTGGGGGAAAGGCCAGGTCCAGTCAAACCCGAGGCCACCCAGGAGCCATGCAGAGTCCTGAGGCCAGAGGCAGGAGGCCACACCCATCCCTCAGGAGCCGCACAGACACCGCCTGCTGCGATCTCCAATTAAACCTCAGCGTTAATTAGAGTCTTCCTGGCCCAGGGGAGGGGGCCGAGGTGGAGTAATCACAGCTGTGCCAGGAAACCCAGAGCCACGGCGGGGACAGAGGGAGCCTCACTGCCCACTGGGGAGGCCAGGGCTCCGCCACCCGAGAGGGGTGCCCCAGCCACACCAGCTCTGGGCCTGAGCACACAGGTCACACTCAGCTCAGCGGGGTGGATGCCGAACTTGAGTGTCGAGGGAGAGCCGGAAGCTCAGCGCCCATCACCTGGCCGGCTATGGAGGGAGGCTCTCCCCTCTCAGGCCTGTTTCCCCACTCAGGGCTCCAGGGCCTTCTCTCCCGCGTGGCTCAGCCCACAGGGAGATGAGGCCTCTTGCTCCATGGCCTTGCAGGGACTCTCACCCTGCCTCTGCGGCACCAGGAAGGATTTGGAATTGGAAATACATGTCTGGCTTTCTGAGTAATACCCTACCAAAAATTTTAAAGTGAAAATTTCTTCATCTTAAGGAAGACAAACACAAGCCAGGAGGGCCTGTAATTGTCATCCTGACCTACATTATTCTAACATCTTTGGAAAAAACATTTTAATTGGGTCTTTGACTTTAAAAGAAGGGAGCTTTCCATGCAGACCTGAGGGTCTCAGTGCCAGGAGCCAGGGCCCCCCCACATGGAGGCCCCAGGAAGGCGACTTCAAAGGGGAAGGGGGCAAGACCAGCATCCCACACCCCCGGCATCCTGGAAGCATTCGCTGATAGCGCCTCTGGAAAACCCTGGTCACGGCGGCAGCTGAGAACCCACCAGGGCGGAGGGGCTGCCGGGGGGCTGCTGGCAGACAAGGCCTGGATGGCAGCCAGCACCCACCAGCGTCTCGGAGCAATGACAGACGCTGCCGTCACCGACGTTATCGCCGGACAGAGAACGTTCCAGAAGCAACATGCCTGGTGTTTGTACAACACTTGGCTTCCAAGCAGCACAGAACCCTGACTCACTAGCCTGGGGGCCGAGCTGTGCCTTGCCCCTGCCCACCGCCCTCCCTCCTCACATAAGACAAAGGTCACAGACCTGATTTAACCCTCAAGGACAAACTCAGGCCGGTGCAAAGGTGCCATGGAGCCTGGGCAAGCCAGATGCAGGTCCCATCTAGACACAGCCCCCGCGTGGGCCACGCTCAGGGCCCAGCAATCGGGCAGTGGAGCGCGCGACCTGAATGCAAGCCAGCCCTCAGGGTCAGCGTGGGGTCCCACTGCCTCCCACAGCAATGCTGCACAGAACCACCCCTTGCCAGGAGCTCACCCACCCACACGTCTGGGGTGATCCCACCACGCTTGCCCACAGGGGAAGGTGAAATGGGCAGGCTGAGATGGAGAGCTTGGGCGGGGGGGTATCCATCGGGATGCTGGATTCAGGGCCCCCAGAGTGACCAACCCTTCCCTCCTGTTGACCCCGCACCCAGGCTGTGTGTGCAGGGCCCGTCCAGCCCTGCTGTGTCGGTCTCCTGTGCCCCATTCACTCAGCGACACCCCTCTGTGCACAGTCCCAGGTGCTGCCCACACAGCGCACACAGAGCAAGGACCCAGCTCTCAGGAGCTTGCCCCCAGGCCCCGCAGCCCCCCTTACGTTTGCCAACACTGGGCCTGGGGCTGAGGCACCCAGGACATGACCAGGCCAAGTGTGAGCTTGAGCCTGGCATCCACCGTCCCGGGCCAGAGCATCTCACGGGGCCCTGCAGGCCTTGCCACGAACCTCCAGGCCTCAGGGGGCTTTGAGCCGCTGTGTTAACCCTTTAACTCCAAAGAATGCACTGAGGGCCCCAGTTTTCAAAGTCTTGAAAGCCCAGTCAACTGTCACTTATTTAAATCGATTACCAAGTGACTCAGGCTCACCCCCTGAAGCTCCGACAGTCATCCTCTCTGAACTAGTTCTCTTAGGGGTCTACCCCATGTGCCTGTCCAAAGAATGCACACAGCCCATCCTCTGCTTCGCGCCTCCCTCTCAACGGTGGCCAGTGGAGCTCAGCTGACAGCCACGGCGAACCCCACACGTGAACGCTCTTCTGCTGCCGGATAACCCCGTCCCAGCTGCAGCCATCGCTGAGGGTCGGGCTCTCTGTACCCGCAAAGAATGCTGGGGTGGTGCCCCCACAAATACTGTGTCAAGGGCTACTTTCCTGGACGGTCTGTGTCCATCTCAGCTGATGGGACACCTGCTGCCACTCCTGCCCGGCCAGGGACCCGTCCTCCACGACTCTCAGGCACCCCTGGGGCTGCTCACCCAGGGAGGAGTCAGAGGCCCCAGAGCCCGCAAGGATCCTTAGAAGGGGGACTGAGAGCCACACCCAGACAGGAGTCATTTCAAAACCAGGAAGTAAGAGGATTTTTACATTTTTATTTATTTTTTATTTTTTTTGAGACAGGGCCACTCTGTCACCCAGGCTGGAGTGCAGTGGTGCGATCTTGGCTCACTATAGCTGTGGCCTCCTGGGCTCAAGCAATCCTCCCACCCCAGCCTCCCCACCACCATGCCTGGCTAATTTGTGTATTTTTTGTTGAGATGCAGTCTCACTGTGTGGCCAGGCTGGTCTTGAACTCCTGGCCTCAAGCGGAAGCCGCCCCACCTGCCCCCCCACCACACTGTGCTACGTACATCCCAGACCTGTTCCCAACACTTGCTCTACCACAGAATGGTTTTGTCACAAGCACTGGTTTGTGACCGGCTCCTCGGAAGTGAGAAGCCCATTCTCGAAGGAGCTGGTGCACGGCAGCCAAGCTGGCCCCGGCCGAGGGAGCGTGGGACCTGCTGCCTGTGGCTCCCGCATGCCCGTCTGTCCCATTAGCCAGGGCCTTGGAGGTGTCCGTGGTGTCTCTGCGGGTGCCGTGTCTGCCTCTGTCAGGAAGGGCCAGGACGCTGAACAGAAGGACACAGGCTCCAAGTCGCCTCGGCCACCCACCCGCCAGGCAGCCTTGGCAGGGCTGTTGGGGCTTTGAACCCTGCGCAGGTGGCAGGAACATGGGAGGTCAGAGCATGGGAACTGGAAACAAGAGGAGCCGTGCACAGGGGCCGCCCACACGCCCTGGAGTCAGGAGGCCCCGGAGCCCCTGGTGCCACCCCCACCCCAGGCAGCTGAGGCAGCTCAGGGTGCTGGGCTCAATAAAAGGCTCCGTGAACTGGGAGTGGGGAATGTCCTGCTCCGAACTTCCCAGACGCCCGAGTGGTGGTCACTGCCACGCCCAGCCTGCCCAGCCCCCTGCAGGACATGGGCCAGCAAGGCCCTGCGAGGCACTTGGGAGGGGGGCCATGAGAGCCTAGCTGGGCCTCAGAGGCCTGGGGACGCACTGCCCCTTGCTTTCTACACCCTGAAAACAAGGACTGATCAGTCACTGATTCCTAGTCTAACAACCAACCTCCAAATCCCAGGGCTTCCAGCAACAAAGGACCTCCCTTTGCTTCTGGGTCAGTAAGAGGCTCCAGGGCCGGGCCCATTCCACATCTCCTCCCTGCGGAAGGACCCTCTGCTCTCCACCCCCAGAGCAAGGCAGTGGGCGCCTGGGCTGGGAACAGCTGGGTGGGGCGAGGGCAATGGTCAGGGTAGTGGGGGCACATCCCTGGGAGTGCAAACAACAGGCGGGGAGCAGGCTGGGGGCCTTGCCAGGGTCATGTACGTCCCTGGTGACTGAGGAAGGAGCGGGAGACTGGGAGTGAAATAGACCCCCAGATGGGGAGGGCCCAAGCCAGCCCCTGTGGCAGCCCCTCCAGGCCTCAGTGCTCCTGGGTCCTACCAGGGCCGCAGCGGGAACTGAGGCTGAAACAAATTAGGGTGGCTGGTGGCACAGCTGCGTCACACCCAGGCACAATTCCTTCCCAGCACAGCCAGGAGGCTGTCGGGGACACTGGTGCCTGCTCAGGGTCGGACCTGAGGCCTCCATACCTGCAGTCCCCACAAACCCTGTGCACAGCCCACCCCAACTCTGGCTAGGGCTTGGGGCCCCCAGCAGAGGGACATGGCTTGTCCTGTGTGGAATGGAGGCAGCTGTCCCAGGCTAGGCCCAGCTCTGGGAACCAGGGAGCAAGTCACGGGAACAGCCCTGGGGTACAGGGGAAGGAGTTCACAGAGCCCTTTACTGAGCCCCACAGCCGACCGGGGGGAAGGGTCCACAGGCTCTGGCCATGGTGCTCTCTGGCTCCTGGGCCCACACGTGTGTCCTGAGAAGTCGTGGCACGCCCGACACTCTGGTCAGAGCTGGCCGCCATCTTGCAGCTGCATCTGTCGAACCAGCGTCTGCCCAATGGCCACCAGGGGGCTGGCTCTGTAGGCCGGACTGGCCAGTAGCTCCTGAAACCGGGTCCTTTCTTCCTCGCTGAAAGAATGGAGACCGCAGATCAGCAGGCAGGAACCCCCAGACTCCTCAGCCCCACCTATGCCCAGGCACGCTGGTGCAGCTGGGACGCTGGAATGAACGCAGAGGCCGGTGGCCACCATAGGGCTGAGTGCTGGGGCCCCAGAAACTTCCGGCGGGAGGGGAGAGGCTGCCCTGGGCTCCTCGTGGCCACAACATCCCAGAGCCCTGGCAGCGCCCACCGTGGGGTTTGCCGTTGGGGCATTGCCCGGCCAGCAGGTCTGGGGCTGATGGGGCTGCTGCGAAGGCTGAGAAACGGGCCGGCGGCTCACGAGCCTGCAGACTCACACCTTACATAAGAGACGGCTCCCTCCACGCAACCAAAATAGACGCACACGGAGGAGGGCCGGGAGCCTGAGCCGGGAGAGGCCTGCAGCAGAGGGGAGGCGGCTGCCCCAGATGGGTGCCACGGCGACGACCCAGCAGAGTAGCAGCTCACCCCAGCCCGGTGCCCACTCAGCTCCCGCTCTAAAACTCAGAGCAGTGCCCCTGTGGAACGCGAAGGTGATCTGCGGCCCAACTCAGGCACAGAAGCCTCAGGGGCAGCTCCCAGACGGGCTCTGCTGCGGTGGCCAGGAGGCCCTGAGCCTGGTGGGGGTGAGGCTGCCCTCCTCAGGCCTGTGAGCCGCATGTGCACAAAGCCGTGTTGAGGCTGGATCACACTGGCCCTGGTTTCCTGGGCAGATAACAAGGCTCCTTCACATCCCACTGGACGACCGCCCGGGTAGGGCCCACACACCAGAGCTGCTGAGGACAGTGGGGCAGGGGCCGTCTCCACAGCAGGAGGCAGCCAGGGCCCTGATGGTCACTGACCACCACCTCTTCCTTTCACTGACACCCTGGCCACGAAACGGCAGCTGGGGTTCTCCCCGTAAAGTCAGGGTGAAATGCCTCAGTCACAGCCTGAACATCACAAGTGAGCTCTGGGGCTACCAGGACCTGACAAGGCCCCACCTGGGGCAACTGAGGAGCCGCGGCCAGGGGAAGGCTCAAGCCAGGTTCTTAGCACCTCAGCGGAGTCCCAGGTCAGAGCTGGGGAAGGAAAGGAGCCTTGACAGTGACACCTGGAAGTGAAGTTGTAGGGGGAGCCTGTGTGTGAGGGGCTGTGGTGGGGGAGCCTGTGTGTGAGGGGGTGGGGGGGGGGAGCCTGTGTGTGAGGGGCTGTGGGGGGAGCCTGTGTGTAAGGGGCTGTGGGGGAAGCCTGTGTGTGAGGGGCTGTGGGGGAGGCTGTGTGTGAGGGGCTGTGGTCGGGGAGCCTGTGTGTGAGGGCTGTGGTGGCGGTGCTGTGTCGGGGAGGCTGTGTGTGAGGGGCTATGGAGGAGCCACACAGCACCAGGGGCACCCAACCTTTGTCCCATACAGCATCCACACTCACAGGCAGGCACAGGCTCCCCCC